TCATTCGAAGGAACTGATCGCGCGTGAGTAGCAAAGAACAACTTCGTCAACCGGTACGTCCCGCAAATATCTTTCAATTTTATCGCTTCTCTTTCACTTTCCTTTGTTAATATTATTGCCCCCCCATCCCCCGAAACACTCTTTTTCGTATCGCATAGGATAGATGAAAAATTCCCTTTGACTTTAGTATGTCGTAACAACACATGAACCCTCTTGCCCTTGTATGTATACATGACGAAAGAATAATTGGACGGCATCTGTCCGCGAAGTGTTCGCGCGGCGCGCTGGAATCGAGTGCGCTCGAGTGTCTCGTGAAATTTATCGTAATCGAATGTAAGAAACGAGAGACAGAGGATTGCGACAGAGAAATGATTCGAGCGGCGTACAACGGAAACGAAATGGCGCACGACAGAAGGGAGAGTCGCGGTAAGGATTAGCGAGGGGGGAAACGATTTCCTCTAATCCTTTTACCAGCAAAGAAGCGACAAGTTACAGACGGAAAGAATGTATTATTCCAGGCGTGCTGTTTTTCTATCTACGTCAAATTAAAAAATTCGCATTTTATTTCGCTCTTTACTTTCAATTATTTTAATAAAACAAATAGATCATTTCAGTTAATAAGGAGAAAGTTCACACCCATGCCACGAAAAGAAAACACACTGAAAGTGTAATTAAAAGTAAAATCCATTTTCTGAAAAAATTCGTTTTGTTTTATTCTTTTATGTAACTTGTACTTTGTAATCCGTAAGTACGCGAGAGTGTGTGCTAATAACTATACGTGAGAAAAGGGACACAATATATTCATTTTTTTAAAATAATATATTTTAACAGTTCCAAAAAAAAGACAGATTAACATTTCTTTTGTCTCAATTTAAACGTCTCGTCAATATATATTTTGCGTTCTTAGAATAAAAAAATAATTTATATCAATCGACTAATTATGAAAAGAAAGATCATGTGTGTACTTACGGATCAATGCAGATTAAGTTCAGACACGTGAAAGATACCTCGGTCCTAATGTGTGTTTTAACATTTAATATCTCTATAGAAACATTAATGCACAGTGAATGAGGCGTATATTTTCTTCCGCATCGTTTTGATGTCCTTCGTAAATTTTCAATCTATTGTTTAGATGAAACATGATAAATAAATGTCTTTCAGAAATTAATAATCACTGGTGCAAAATAGAAATCTTAAAAACGATGGACAAAAGGAAGGAGATTATTGATAAGAGAGAAGGGAAAGGCCAAAACAAATTTAACCTTTTGTGTTAGAAAACAGAGAAACAAAATAATTCAGCATCACATAAATCGAGAACTCTCCTTTGCCTTTATTTTAACACGTGACAGTTTATTAAACGAAATAATAATAATATTAATAAAATATTAATAATAATAATAATAATATAATCAATGAAACTAAGGATAGGCAGAAGAAATCACATTTAAAGCGCGGGGTCGGAGTTTGTTATCTTGCATCTGTCCCTTGTTTTCATGCGAAACTATCTCTCTCCTTCTTATTTCATTTCCTACGTATCTCTAATAGTAAACCAGAATGATGGGTATCTGTCTATCCTTTTGTTCTACATTTCAATCGATTGTATGATACTCTTTTTTTTTTTATACTATTGTCTATTTGACAGGATGTATGCGTACTCGAGATTTCTTAATTGTACCACGCGCGTACGCGCAATTAGAAGTTGGTTCTTTCTCTATCTGATGTTTTACTCTTTTTCGCAGTGACTTAAATTGGGATATCCAGAGATAGCGGGTCGCATGCCGTATTGCAAAGGAGTCTGCTACACGCAGCAAGAAAGTGGATCTACTTCGAACGTTCTTCTATATACGCTTTATTACCCCTCGCCCCTACTCTCATTCATTGTCCTATCATCTTCTTAATAACAACGTAATAGTTTTAAACAACTTGAGCATAGGTGAGGCGCGGACGTGACATCCACGGGGTTCGCTCTCGTCGACTAAAACCGCGATTCTCTCGACACGATAAAAAAAAAAAACGGAAATAAATTGGCACCGTTAACACCTTTCCTCGTCGTAAATTCTACGTCGACAGTGGTGAAAATAAAAGTGAGAAGTTTGTATACGATTAAAAATACAAAACTCAACGATCATGCTTTCAGTATCCTTCATACGAACAACGTAACTCGATTGAACGATTGGTCATACGGGAACCCCGAAGGAGAGCGCGTCTAACGCCGTAACAACAAATTATCTACAATGGTCGCATATACATGTTCATCTTTCTCCCTTTCTCTTTCTTTCCCTCTCTTCTTCTCCTCTTTCTCTTCCTCACGCGCACACGCATACGCACGCAACAGATTATACATAAGATTATTTAGATATTAGGAAAGGTACTTAGAATATTTTCATTATTAGAGTCTGTTTTTTCTTTACCTTATACACCTACTAAATATCGATCAAAATATTAATCAATTTTAATAATAATATTAATAATAATAATAATAATAATAGTAATAATAATGCAAATAAAAATAATATAATAATAATGATCGAGATGACAATAATGATGTTGATAAAGATGATGACGCTGATGATGATAATAATTATTTCTTTATTTATGCATTTGTATATACGTATATGCATATATTAATTTATTGTATTAATTAATATATGAATATACTTATTTATTTATAGCACCTATTTACAAAGAGGTCTTCGTGCGGCTCACTTACAGTATGTGCGTGATGCTTTTATTTATATATATATTATATATATATATATACACACATATATATTTTTTACAAAAATATATATACATATATATATATATTATATCCGTATATATTTCTAAACGAGATTTCTTGTGCATCTCTTTATTTATATGCCAGTCTTCGCGGTTTTTTTAATAACTTCTCTTCGTTATGCCTTCGTTATTATACTGGCGCTTTCGCATATTTTTACGAATGTCTTTTCGTTAATGCGAAAAATATAAGTTTCGCTCGTTTTTCATATAATCTGCCTATCCGTTTTCTTCCGCGTTCGTCAAGATGTAATATTCGCATGTACCTTGTCCTATTGTAATATTGTACGTAATTCCTTATCTTATCAGTCCGCATGTTCCGTATATTTCCTTTCAGTATACTTGTCTGTAAATCGTGACAAAATCCTAAATTAATTAAAACTTAGGTCGCAACACGCGTTATGAGAGATTTAATTTTAACTAAACTGCACAAAATTACAATTTTCATAATCGTAGTACTTTGCATTCAGTGCTCTTGGAGCATATGTAGAAAATGAGGAATGTAAAGTGAAGGAAAAGAAGTGAAAAACAAAAAGAGTAAAAGAACTAAAAAGTAGAAGAATAAAATAATTATATGATAAATCTTGAAACATAGAATATCAAATGATAATAAACTCAGAATATTTCTCGAGCTCGATAACGTAAAAAATAATTCCAATTGAAATTTCGATGATCCAAAACGATTTGATAAGTAAAGGTAAAGTGATAAAAAATATATCAGGGAATGTCAAAAATGGACATTATTGGGATCAAAGAACTTATAATTCAGAACGAATTAATTAAAAACTTTCTACTCTATATAACTCTTTGTAAAAATATAAATCATTGGTCATTTATAAATGATCTTTAACATTCGCAACTAAAATCTTTTCTGATTGAACTGAAGAGGAAACCGGCTCACAGTTCATCGTCAGTACGTATACTTTCTAACATTATGAAAGTATATCGTCCATTCGAATATAAGTTAATCCATGATCGTGCTCCACTTTATCATTCAAATGTCAGCTTTAAACGGCCGGCGTCAGATCGTATGGATTATATCGCGACGAATGCGTATTGATGAAACTTTCTAGCACGTAATTGGCACGCATGATTATTGGCGAGGATTAACACGCTAAAAAGCGTAGAGAATTTGAAACAGTCGAGTAAATCGATTGTATCCTCAACTGATACAGAGATTAGATTTAGTTGCGTGAAAACAACGAAATAGTTCTTGATGACCGTTGATTATATCGATCAACAATAATTAGACCAGTATGTAAACATGTAGTCTTCGAGGAAACTACATCACGTCAGTCTTATTATATCAAGGAATGTAAACCAAGGTTTCCAACGCGTTACATGGGTATACTGCGAAATAATATATATGTATGATCTCAGAACGTTGATTAAATATATCGCAAATAATAAAAATTAAACATTTTAAGAGCGTTTTTAATTTTGATAATTGTGATCGTACGTAATTTATAGAAAAATTTTAAAATAATTGAATTTATCAATCCCAATTTTTGGTTTTTAATTTTGGTTTACCAATTATAATTATCAATTCGAATATTAATCGGTAAATCAATGGAATAATTTCAATTCAAACGAATCTGTTCTTTTCTTGCGTAACAATGGGTTCTTGAGTTAGGTTTGACCAAATATCTATATATATGTAAATGTATGTATGTGTGTGTCCTGTGCAAATAACATAAGCATGCAATGCCCCTAATTGAGTCATGTATATACGGAATCGAAAGGATCATGGATAAGATAAAAAAAAAAAGAAAGATAAAAAAGAGGAAATAAGAATATAGGGAGAGCGTAATAATTTTGTAAGTTGTCGAAAATAATTTTGATCTTCTCGAGCACACATCGACCTCGTCTCGTATTTCTTATCCGTTTCCCAACGATAATTTTTACGCTATATTTTAATCTACTAAAAAAAAAATCACAAAACCCTGTGTCTTTCTTACATACATACCTGTATTTATGCGTACAAGATCAACATAAAGAAAGGACTTCGCTCGCGAGGGATTTACTTACACCAATGTGTAAGTGAATAAATTAAATGAATAGAGATCACGGAGAAGAAAACGATCGAGCTGCGATGAAGAGCCAGCGTCATGACGTACCGTGTCACGCGGAAAGCAGAAGAAAAAGGATAGAAGGAGAGCCTCAGGCCGAGGCTAAGAGCGCACGAATGCTTTCTGAGGTTAATTTCCAAAGATCAGGCAGAATTACTGCTTATCTTTAAGACCACCTAGCAACGCATGGCTCTCCATCGTGGCACTGAGATTACTGAGATTGCTCAAGTTCCCTAAATTCCCCAGGTTGCCCAGATTGCCGAGATTTGGCTGGTGGGCGTAATTCCTAATCTGGTGAAGGCTGATCAACTGATTCGGGAAGGACGTAGCGTTCTGATTGCTGGTAGTGCCGGGCGTCACACCTGTCGTCGAGGACGTTGGCGACGACTTCTGCGTCGTGTTAAACGCCTCGTAGAGGTACGGTCGGGATGCCGGATGATGGCTACCAGGGTAGTGCAGGTGATTCAGCGGATTTAACGGGTGCTGCATTGAAGAGATTGAATTGATCGAAATCGACGAAATCGGCGTGAAGGCCGAGCTGCTGTTAGGATGATGATTCGCCCCTGGTTGGGGTGTCTGTTGCCTCGAGTCGTTCTCTATAGACTCGCCAGCGCGATGCCCGTGTCCCGGCAATAACATCTCCGGATTCTGATTCTGATGGTACTCTGTGTGATGGTGCGGCAACCTCTCGTGCAAGTCGCCGATCACTGTGTCCGGGCTAACTTTGGGCCAGTAGTGGTCCTGATGGTGAGCGGTCATCGCGTGTATCGACGGCCTGAGGCCCGTGCCGATGATCGGCGGTCTCTTATCCGTTCTCTCTGCGTGCTTCTGCATATGCTTCGCCAGATAGGTCTCCTGGGTGTAACTCTTACCGCAGTACTGGCAGATGTGCGTTTTCAGGTGCTTCGACTCCTTGTGCTTCGGTATGTGCTCGAGCAGACTTGGCTCATCGGAGAAGCACTTGTAACAGGAGTTACACTTGTACGGCTTGTCGGTCTGGTGGCATCGGGAATGGCTCTGTAAGTTGCTCAATTGGCTGAACGCCTTCGTGCAGCCAGGATGCCGACACTTGTACGGCTTATCGCCAGTGTGCGTGCGGATGTGCTGCTGTAGATGGCTCAGCTGGGTGAATTTCCGTTGGCAGATCTCGCAACGGTACGGCTTAATGCCCAGGTGGATCCTCGTATGCTGCGACAGGTACGAGGAGTTGGCGAACGCCTTGGAGCACTGCGTGCATTTGTACGGCTTCGCCTCGCGCATATGAATCTGCGTGTGGAGCTGCAGATCCGCCTTGCTACCGAATATCTGCAAAAAGAAAAAATACTTTGGTGTCAAAGAGAGAAACGTAAAAAGAGACAAATCTACATATATGTATACATATAGATGAGCGTGAATGGGATGCGAAGAAATACGTCATAATCGATCTTAGAAACTCACGCCAATCGCCATTGAAGGAGACTCGATGTTTCCTTATCTAAAATGCAAATTAATAACTTCCTGCGCGCACGTGACACAGTATACGGGACAGGAGCGTATACTGGCTTCGGAATGGCAAAACGTTCGTTTCTGCTACAATATACAAGGCAGAACAATACGAGGGAGGAAGGGAAAGGATCGCGGTTGGGGAACAATCTCTATTGCCGCGCGACGTTCGCTTCCCTCTCGCTTCCATGACGCGCTAACCGGACACGTCGCGCCGGTATATTTATAAATAAACAAATAAACGAAAAAAGAGGAGCACTGCCACAGTAGCTCGAGCGTATATACACGAGGCGGGGAGAGGCTGACCTTGTCTATCACGGCCTAGCCTCGGGGCATATCCGACCGACTGGCTTCGGGTACCGCATAGAGAGCCCCCTCCTCTTCCTCGTACTCTAGTGTGGGTATATATCCTCGCTCTTTCCTTCCTTCATCTTGCCGCCTCGCTTTGTCTCCTCCTTTATCCCCCATCTCGTTCGCCGGTTCCTCGCATGCTAGTTTCTAGTTCCTCTGATCTCATCTGACTTCTTTTTTTTTTTCTCCTTTTTCATACCTCTCTCCGCGACAGCGTGGACAAGCCGACGATCAACGATTATTATCACCTATACTTCCCGATATCTTTCTCGATCGCGCTAAACGCTTGTCGCACGCTTGTATTATCACGTCTTATAATACAATTCAAATGAATATTCATTTCTTATACATATATTAATCGCATGATTGAGACGTGACTGTCGCGCGCAATTATCGTACTTTCATGCACAATTTTTATCGTTGCACGAATTCATAATCGAACATCCACTTTAATTCCAATTGTACCTGCGTAATCTTAGAGATGATAATATATTTTTCCAATCTTCCCTGGCTTTATTACAAACGTGATTAATTAATCAAACGTGATATATATAATGTTCGATAGATGAGAGAGTCCTTACAACACATCCCGCACATAATCGCAGCACAACCCTCCACTATTTTCGACCTTCTTACTTTCTTTCGAAATTTCCGTCCCGTCCACGATGGACGGATCACTAATGCCGCGCTAAAACGTCTCATTCATCCGTAATGACGCGCGCGCATCATTACCGAATAATAACACCGGTCACGAGATCCGTGATGCTCCGAGGTAACGATCGTGCGGGTATTTCGGCTTCGTGGAAAGGGCAGCGAATTGTCTTCCGACGCCGTGGCGGACGAAGGTATCGCACCGGAATGACGTGTCGGAGTCGAAGAAACGATCCTGAACACGCGAGGAGCGACGTGGCGGAGCGAAGAAGTCAGTTTCCTGGCGTCGCCTCCGTTCGACCGAGGTTATTACGTAAAACAGCGGGTTCCTTTTCTGAAACCGTCCATCGTGTTCGCCACGCCCGAGGATCTAGGGCGAGGGGATCCAGAGATCCTTCGCGTGGCGAGGGCCCAAACCTCATGGGAGGATGACCGACTCTCGTTACCGCGCTCGATGAGGGCTTGCTTGTTATATTTCCAGCTGGAAAACTTCTGGATCTCACGACTCGTGTAAACAATATAACTCGCTTTGAAACAATTTACGCAACTCTGTGATTAGACGGATTGTATAATAACGGCGAAGCAAACGTTTCACGTTTACATTACAGATTGATGTGTTCTATCAATGCACAGAGATTTAATTTATTTTTTATCTTCTTTCAATTTTTAGAACTAGAAAAAAATTAATAATCAATGAAATGAGTATATAATATTGAAATATGTCAAATAGAGTTTCTTCGAGGGAGATTGCTTTGGAGGTTGCTGTGTGGAAGCATTTTAAATCCTATTATCATTTAGTGCGGTATAGGCACAAAGACATACTCGGAGTCTTGATTTTTACGACTTTACATCTTTGCGCGCTATTTAACAGAAGCAGGAAGAGCGATAATCCAAGCATGTTAACGGCAAGTCGGTTAACGATCGCTTTACGGTTGTCGTGGATCGTGATTTATTCGGTAATCGATCGACGGTCTCGCTCGAGGCTTCAACGGCTGACTTGGCGCGTCCTTTAACGGGTTGGAGCTGCTATTTTTTTATTTCCTCCTTTCGAAACACGTCCTTGCCGGTGTCAAGTTCGCGCATAGTCCACGTAACGCGATAGTCTGTTGCGCGTCACTCTTCTCTTTTTTCTTTCGTTTCTTTTTAGCGCAGCAAACAAACGGCAAATCTGAGGGGCGCGAGAACAATTAGAGGAGGAGGAGACAAGAGGAAAGGGGAAATATTATTTATATAATTGATATACCTATATAAATTGTCAAATCATATATAATCGTATCTAGCTTTCATTTATAATTCATTTAAATTGTTTGATGTTCTTTCTTTGCATATAATAGTTGATTAAAATAAAGAATAATATAAAAAGAAAGAAATGTCAATGTAATAAAACCGTTGCTCACAAATCGAAACATTAAAGCAATCATTGCAATCTGCTCCATCTTTTAAATATCCAGTATTCGCGCAAACTCGAGAACAATTAGATACAGGGTCGACAAACTGTAGAAGTAAATTCTAGCTTCGTTCGTGCAATCTTCGTCGTACATGATTACATATGGTAGAATAAGCGATTAGCTTAGTCAAGGTTTCGTGTCTTGCGGGATAAGTCATCGTTGTGGAATACAAATTACGCTAGTTCGTATCAATGGATCAACAAATCAATGCTTCTAATTGACGGACTTTGAGAAAATTGTTCGCTTTGCGAGCTTTAAAATAAACGAGACAGAGTGCCATGAATCGTAATAAAAATACTAACGATTCCAAAAATGGCGATTATAAGCTTCGCGGTCTTCAAATTAAATTTTATCTCTTCTATTCGTTAATTTAATTGCAAAATGTTTGGAAGAATCGAGAAAAGCTCGTTGCTGATTGGCAGGCTAAATATTCGCGTATGGATCTTCTATGCGAAAACTTGGAAGACAACTCTTGCTGTTCAATGGACTTGATTCAATTAAAGAATTTCTCGATGCAAATCACGGCAGCGCCAAATAAAAATTGGCGGTTATAATTGACAGAAGGCAGTTTAGTCGATCGCGCGGAGATGCAAGCGCGACTTATATTCGTGCAGAATTTGAAGGAAATTCCGTTGAAAGAAATTCCGGATTATACGATTAAATGAGAATTAATCTGTAATGCGAGCAGTGTGCGCGACGGCTCAAAGTAGTCCTGCTGAATTAAATCGGACAGCCGGAATCTCACGCCTTCCGTCCTTTCTTTCTCTCTCTCTCTCTCTCACGAGAGATGCGCCTTCAAGAAAAATAATAGCGATAAATCCAGAAATTACGTCGGCCAGACTGTGCGCAGGTATGCGAAATTAGCGCCTCTAATTACGAAACCGGCGAGGAACTATGCCCGCCGGGCAACCGGCTAGTCCTCCTGTCATTTCTGATTAATCGACGTCGATTTACTTAGGCAATACTTAAGAAGCCGAGACGAAGTACATTTGCCATGACGCAGCCGGGTGTATAAATCGTACACTCCGGGATCATCAGAGGGATTTTAGAAGCGCGCGCGTGTGTTAAAGTCTCGAATCGGAATCGAGCATTCTCAAGTTCTTCTTAAACAAAGATCTACGTTTTACGTTTATTCTTCCGACGAAGCGCGACGATTAATTTATCACGAGCTCGCACCGCATTCGCGTCAATAACGATTAATCGACGTGTATTTATCTCGTGTATCTAAGAGTTCAGGATGATGATCGTACGCGCGAACAGAGAATTTCGTCATTCAACTCGGTAGAGTTCCATAGCGTTATGCTCCGTGATGGATGACGGTCGCTTCGCATCTAGTCTGTGTATATTTGCCGCGTTCCGTTTCCTCGTCTGGTTCTTCAACCTCCGCGAAGTAGTCTACGAAGTAGCCTCGGGGCCAGATCTCATAAATTCAATTTAAATATTTCGACCTTAATGATCATCAGACGCGAGGAGGAAGGTAGAGGCGACAGTCAAGGTCGGTGTCGGCGTTCGATAAAAGTACATTTTAATTGAGCAATTGGCAATGTCTTATTGCAGATACCTCTTTCTGCAATTTTTATATCTTTTCCTCCATATTTAATAAGTTTGTTTCGAGGACACCGACAAGTATTTCAAGCGGACTAACGAGAGACGCAAAGTTCAAAAGAATCTTTTAAATTTCAAAGTCCATGGTATCTCAGAGCTTCAACACTCGTGAACCTGCCGTAGCTCACCTGAATTCTTAACGATTCTTTTCGATTACGTAAGTAAAATTAGTATGTTAAAAAAATCGTATATTAATGCATTTATTTCGAAATATTATATATATATCATATATATATCATATGCATACGCGCGTACACTTCTTTTACGTACTCAATAGCGTTTGATTTTTTTTAGAGATTTTATTAAATGACTTATGGATTTATACATATTCTGCCATGCGCACTGAAATTGATTTGCACTATTGTGCTTGTAAAATAAAGGCGCGCACGTGTGTTCACAGCTTCTCGGACGGTAATGTTACTCACAGCATGTCGGAATTATAAAATATTCGATAAGCAGCGAAGTCAAAATAAAACTGCCGAGATAATTAATTTTATGGAATTAAAAGGCTTCTAAATGCGATTGAGTTCGTTACGATTATCGACGTTTCACTCTCTTGCGTTTATCTCGTAAAGCCAATTCATTAAGGCGATAAAGACGTGTAGCGATTTTTTTGCAAACAAAAGCTCAAGCTTTGAAAGCGGCTTATTAATCACGTAAAACGCCATGGTGATTAAGTGGGGATGTAAAAGTCACTCAAGTTTTCAATACTTCATACACGAAATAATCGAACTTATTAAAAAATCGTGGAAACATTCAATAATTGGC